TAAAGCTCACACTCCCCAGTRTTGGGGGATTGAACTCAGAACCTCATGTACGTTAGGCAACTACTTTATTACTAAGCTACATCCTCAGCTCTTAATATTGGAATGAATATTGGCCCTTAGAATTCTTTCCTGAAATTCTAGATAGTTAATTTAACTTTAGCAAAATCAATATTAAAAACCTTTCATTTAAAAATATTCTGCATTTTTCTATTGAATTAATATTTGATTTTTTTGTCCTTTAAGAAGTAATGTAAATGTAAAAGTTATTTCTTTTTTAAAAAAATTATGTGCATTTTTAGTCTTTATTTATTTACTTATTTGTTTTTGTGTAGTGCTGAGAATTGAACTCCATGCCTCACACATTCTAGGCAAGCATTCTGCCACTGAGCTATGACCCCAGCTCTAAAAGTTATTTCTTATAGATGTTTATTGATATTTTATAGATTAATTTTAAAAGTATGACCTATAATAATTCATTGTGAAAAAACTCAGTGTCACTCAACCACTGAGCCATATCYCCAGTCCCATTTTGTATTTTTTATTTAGAGTCAGAGTCTCCCCGAGTTGCTCCCTGAGTTGCTGAGGCTGGCTTTGAACTTGCCATCCTCCTGCCTCTGCCTCCTGAACCACTAGGATTACAGGCATGCACCACAGCATCCGGCAGCAGTTCTTTAAATACTATTTATCACAGTACTAATAAAAATGGATTATTACTCTTTTCTTTTATAATAAATACGTTCTTAAATTATTGAATTATCTATTTTCATCCTTTTCAGTGCCCAGTTAAAATCATATTTTATATTCATAGGCTAAATTATTAATAGCATCCCCTATATTGCAAAAGTCTATGAAATGTGGATTGCATTAATCATATTTGGAGTTTACATAGAATCTCTAAGAAATTCCAAATGCTTAACAAATAGCGTTTAACTTATTTTCACAGCATTATTTTTGGGAAGCAGATGTGGAGCTCTCACAGTTGTAGGATTAAATGAGAAAAGGCATGCAAAGGCTCATTCAGCACGGTGCTTGGAGTAAGGGGAGTGCTCTTCAAGTTGATACCAATAGTCAATTGCCATTGACTTTCTGGTTGAATCATAGGCCATTAAAGTTTGATCATGATGTGTGTTTTTCTGTATTTGATGTATAAAGACACTTGATTATTGATTGTTGAGATGTTTTTTCCTAAAACTATTCAAGTGGTKTTTTAAACATCAGAATCTAGGTTAGGGCTTGTCTAATCACAATGAGATGATATTTCAAATGACCAAGAAATAGAGAACATAGTGTTATCTTGTTCAGTTGTCACTTTATTTATTYATGATCAAATATAAAGCTGAGCAGTATTCAGACATTAATCACATTGCTTCCAGTTGTCTGCCAAAAGTGACAACTGAGTTGTTCAGACTGCCAAACTGGTAAGATTCTTCATTGTAAAGAAGGCCTGTGTAATCCAGAGGCTGAGGCAGGAAGATGGCGAGTTCAAATCCAGCCTCAGCAAAAGTGAGGCACTAAGCAACTCAGTGAGACCCTGTTTCTAAATAAAATACAAAAAAGGGCTGGGGATGTGGCTCAGTGGTTGAGTGCCCTGGAGTTAAACCCCCAGTACTCCTTCCCCTACAAAGAAAAGAATGGACAGAGGAGTTTGCCCACAACTTAGCCCTGTGGCAAGGGCAGAGGTATATGGACCTTTTACAGTGCCAACATTGAGGGCCAGGGCTGACATCCAGTCACAACTCTCACAGCATTTAAAGTAGGTTCAGTGATAGCTTTGTAGGGAGGCCATCCTCTCCTACTCACCTCCATCCTCCCAAGGGCCCAGTTGGGTCTGATAATTAAACTGACATAAAATAGATTAATAAGAGAAAATCAAACAAATTTACTTCATACAAATTTTAGGTAGCACGGGAGCTGTCATAAAGAAGTGAAAACCCAGAGAGTTAAAGTTGACAAAGTTGTCATGTGTGAAAACGTGATAAGTCAAAGGGCCTTGGCTTAGTGTGGTTAACAGGGGGAGAAGTGACTAGAAGATTAAGTGTGAGGTTAACAAGGTTGGTCTGTATAGATTTCCCTCTGCTTCAATTTCCTGTCCTTGGTAAGAATGTTGCTTTCTTTGTGTTGTAAGGAGGCATCCTTTGGGAGGAAATTTCATCTCCTGTCTTTAAGAAACTGTAGGAAGGTCATGTAATCTTCCTGTACCTGCTCTCCCTCTCCTCCTACCAGTACTGAGGCTTGAACTCAGGCCCTCAATTCAGCTAGGCAAATGCTCCACCTCCCCAACCCTTTTAAAAATTGTATTTTGATACAGGATCTCACTGTTGTCCAGGCTAATGCTGTTTTTTTTTTTTTTTTTAATTCCTTTAAATTAGAATCATCAGTATGCCAGAGCAGCATATCTGGGGTGGCATTATCTTAACTCTTTCTGTCTTTAATCACATTTTTTCTTTTACCTTGCTCAAGGGGAGTACAGTTTCTTATTCTCTTAAAGAAACATTTTAAAAGCAAGCAAGCATAGATTTCTAGACATAGACTTCTTGAAGAAGTTTGTTTTCAAACATTATGTCTACATTTCCTCTGTTGTACCCTGCATACTACTGTCTCAAGAAGAGACAATCATTTTCTCAGTGTTCACACTTTTCTCCATCAGTAACCATCAGTAGAAAGTATTACCACAATGTGATATTAAAATCCCTCTTGTTCCTTAGGAATTTCCCTAAACAGAATGGAACCAAACCCTGACAACAAAACACGGCTACAGAATGAATTGCAAAATAGCATTCAAGTACATGGACTTTACTGGGTAAAGGAAGTGTTTCTAGGTTGCTGTCTGAAGACTTAAGGCTGGTTCTGGCAGATTTTTAAAGTTGAAAAGCTCAGCTGCTTATAGGTTTCCAAACTATAAGTACGGTAGCCTGCTTCTAGTGCTGTGCAAAATCTGACATACATCAAATCTATACTCCCTTTTCAAAAGGGAYTTGACATAACCTACAGTGAAAAGAAATAAATACCAATGAAATCATTGGTTCATGGGGGGGGGGGTGTTACTGTTTAAAAAAAAAAAAAGATAAGCTCTAATTGAATTTTTTTTTTTTTATTCTAGCTTCCTGGCAGCTTAAGGGAAAAAGTAAAAAAAAAAAAAAAAAAATGGAAAGAATGCTGGATCTGGTGGCATAAAAAAATCATTTGCAGTGGCACACGCCTGTAATCCCAGTGGCTCTGGAGGCTGAGGAAGGAGGATCTCTTTCAAAGCAAACCTCAGCAAAAGCAAGTAGCTAAGCAACTCAGTGAGATCCTGTCTCTAAAACAAAATAGGACTGGGGATGTGGCTCAGTGGTTGAGTGCCCCTGAGTTCAATCCCTGGTACTCTCCCACAACAATTAAAAATAAAACCAAAAACTTGTTTGCAGTTTGGCAGTCTGATGTCACTTACTGGCAGGGAGTCAGGGATCTTACTCTCAATGTATCTTCTTAGATTCTATTCCCTTATTTTAAAAGTATAGATGCTACAAAGGAATCTGGAAGATTTCTGAGAAGATTCAAGGAGATACTATATGAAGGGGAAACCTCAAGCATGATAAACATGAAACTGGCTAGAATCATAAATGACATCATCGAATAAAGCTTAAAACATTTTCTTAAAWCAGACAAAGTTTTGTTGGCCCTACCACCTGCCGCGGCTGGAACACTGAGATCACATAATACGTGTTTATTGAACTAAGGAAGAAAGAAAGGATCATTCCCAAAAGTTTTCTCTTCAAGCTTGAGTAAATGTTTGGCCAGTTGYAAGCATTATTTCAACAAAGACAAAATGAACATCAGATCCCAAGCCCCTGAGAGGGGCTGCAGAAGGCCATATGTATGCAGACTATTCCACAAGGACTCAAGACTGTAGTGCTAAACAGGCTTGCACACAATTTCAAGATTTCATTTTCCTGMTTCAGTCCTTTCAGAAGGCCTCTCACTCATTTAATTCTCTACTCTTCCTACCCTAGCTCTAAGAAGTCTTCCCTGACGTCTGCCAAATTTTCTCCGTTTTAAGTCACTATAAAAACACTTTCTTGTGAAATATGATATATCAAGAACTATGTAATGTTTAGAACAACCAACATTAAAAAAATAAATAAATAAATAAAGAGAAAAAAAAAACCACTTTCTTTCTTCCTCATGGTATCTGTCTTTGCTCCAAATTTACATTTATATGCATCGTCGCTATTACATATATTATTAATTAGCTGCCATCAGACTAACATTAATTACATTATCAAATTAACAAAGTTACTTTATTACTTATTGGTATTATTAGTACATTTATTTATGTCATTATGTTGGTAACTGTCTCCCAGACAATAAACATGGCATGGTAGGTGCTAGTCGGGAACCTTATATAGTAGGGGTGGAGGCCTACTGTACAATGGCCGAGTAAATTCCAGGAGGGTTTGCAGGTCCTATTAGATGTTTGGAAAATAACTGGGGGCTTGGGTTGCCCGTTTTAAAAGTGAATCCAGTAGCAAATGTTCTAGGAGAGGGTAGACTCCGCCCCTTTACAACAACAACAAAACAAAACAAGCTCTGTAGGCGCCCTAAAATTCTTTTTTGGATCCGAGACGTGGATTGCAGCAGAGGTTCTCGCTCCAGAGCACAAGCTGGAAGAAACCCTAGGAACTTGCAGAGCGAGTAGGAATGCCAGCTGGAGGCTGTGCCGGGACTGCCTCTTCTCATTTCTCCCGCGCGAAACCTGGCTGGACGGCTCCACTCCCTCCCTCCGCTGCAGGGGGGAGCAAGACGCGAACTGACCGGAATCCGTCTCTGGTCGCGCTCAGGGACAGCTCAGTCTTGCACCACCTGCGAAGTAAAGTTCACAGGTCGCGAAGTCGGGTCAGTGCCCAGAGGCTAGAGGCCTAGGGACGTGGCGCCGAGTGGGCGGTGCGGCGAGGTCCCCCTGTCCCGGGCGCCGAGTGCGCATATCCCCGGGCCCGCCCGAGCGCCTGGCCGAGCGCGCCAGCTGCGCGGCCTGGGGGCGGTCTTGGTGCGCTGCGCCCGTGGCTACCTGGCTCTAGTGGCCGCGTGCTACGAGGAGGCTGGAGCCACGTAAGGAAGATGGAATTGGCGACTCGCTCCCAGGTGAGGGTCTGGCCACCGGCCGCAGCCCGGTTGCCCCGTGGATTGCTTTTTCTTTTGCACCCCGGCCCTGCTCCTGGCCTCGGAATGGAAACGTGGCCCTTGGCCATGGTTCTGTGGATCGGGCGCGATCCATTCTGCAAACTTTGGAGCTGGCGTGCCCTGCAGGTGTGCAGGGTGGGGCCGGGCTGTGCCACCTAAGTATAGGGGGCGGTCCCGGGTGGCCCCGGGGTCGCAAAGGGCCACAGAAGGGCCWCGGGCCCCAGGTGTGGACTCTTTTCCAAGGAAGTGCGGACAGGGAGGTAGCGGGGGCGGAGCGCCTGTGTTAGCTGCGCTCCGGAGACCTGGTGGGGCGAGGGGGCTTGTTTTGGTGCACCACCCGCCTTCCTAGAGGAATTGGCACAGAGATGAGGAAGTTTAAGAAATGAGAATTTTCTAAAAAACAGTCGGGAGTCAGCTTTAGCCTAATTTAGGTAATGGAGTTTAAAAGGAATTGTTCGCGGGTTTGTTCTAGAACTTTTTGTAAATGTTTTCAAGTAGTTTGTAATCACTTGGGGGAAATGGCAACGTCATTAGTCCAAGTTAAAAAACTACTGCAAGATCCCAGATCGTGTACTCAGCCACGACTCCAATTTCGCATTATGGGCCTATCTATCTGGTCTTTAAAACCTATTAACAAATACTTGAGTGTTTTTCAAACGTTTCAGTGAATAGTGGGAATGTGAACGAGATTTTAGGGGTTTTAATATATAATATATATATATATATATATATTATATATATATCCTTTTTCAAAGAGCTTTTCATTACTTTTAAATGAACTCTATTCTATAAAAAGCTCTAACTTTAAGTGAAAATGAACATACATTTTTATTCAGAGATAAGCATTAACAACTTTTTTAGACAATTTTTAAGAGGGAAGGAAGCAGCCACCCGCTGCTGATGGGAACCTGAGATGTTTTGTGCAAGGCAGAATTTCTTGCTTTTGTGAGAACCTCTCTATAGCTTCCACCAGAATTTCTGGCTGGCATTTACCTCTTTCCTCCACCTGGGCTCTGGGGCCCCAGGAAGAGGTTGCACCTCTGGCATTGMCGGACTGCTGTCACCTGCCAGAGTCTGCTGGCAACTGAAGGCCCTGAGCCACTAATGATTGCTTTGGCTACTTAGTAATTTCTGAAAGCCTTTCTGAAAAGTGGTTGTTTGAAAAAAATCTGATAGATGTTTGAGTATTGTTTTTGAAATGCCTCCAGTGAGGTGATTTTCAAAGCAGGAAAACAATGAGGAAGGCTAAGGACTGAGCCCAGTGTTAGGATTATTAGAATTATTGTGTTAGGATTATTGCGGGTGCGCRTGCCATTTGGCCTCTGCTTCTAGAAGTTTTGGCCTCTCCAGGACTTAACAATAAACAAAAAATCCTTTGGAAGGAGATTTGCACTCTCTTGAATTTCATTAGAAAATGTATCTTCATGTATCCCTCTTGAAACTTGTTGTTCTGCTGGAAAGTTCTTTSCACTTTGATCACTTACATTCATACTTTAAGCTTTGGAAATTCAGAAAGTCCCACAATGTGTAGTTGGAAGTGAACATTTTACTGTCAGGTAATGAGGCTAATTTTTGGTAATTCTGAAATGTTAAACTATTTACCATGTGGGGGTGATCCTCAAATTATATCCAACCCATTATACACCAATTAGAGTAAATTACTATATGTAAGATGATCTTTTTTTTTTTTTCCTTTTCTGAAGACCTCCTAATTGGCAGTGCAAATTAAGATGTGATGATTTTTCCTGTGGAAATATTCCTGTTCATCATAATTTAAATGTGAGCAGATTATTGTCTCTTTAATTTAAATTAGCTGAGAGTGATTCCGTAGGGTAGGCAGGTGACTGCAGATAAGAGCACTTAATGAACATTTCAGGCACTGCAAGATGTTAAATTTGTGTGGTTCTACCCAGTCCCCCCAGCCTTATGAATAAAGCAGTGTGATGAATGCCTGAAGTAGCATTTCTGCACAGTGACTATGGCTCAGCCCAGCATGCTGTGTGTTTTAATATCATTCATACAGTAAATATAATTTCCATCCCTTGGAAAGCACAAAACTGCAAGGTGTTGCAGCAGAGCAGTTTAGGAAGACCTGTTACGATTAACAAGTGTTTGAGGGGATACTCATTTGTACTTGGAACCGCTTTGAAGCCTCTATGTTTCTGCTCCCCACCAGTGTGTTGGATTCAGTGTTCTCTGACAGTGATTTCACCTTCCATGGGCTGTGGTCTTTGATAGGCTGACCACTGTATCTTGTGCTTTTATGTTGAGTGACAGAAACAATATTTAGCAGAGGCAAGGGTGTGATCCCTTGCTAAACTCACAACAGTGCAGCTCACTGGACCTGAGTCTCAGTTCCTTAGCAGAGAGGCTGGTAGGTCCTGAAAGTCACTTTCCTTCTTTTCACTTTTCTAGCTCCAGGTTGCATTTTGCACTCTTTGAGAAGGAAATGATGCTAAATGTTATGCATATGCATGGAGTATGCTGTTGAAAGGGCAAAGGGGAATTTTTCTGGTATTGCCCTTAAGGCAGTAAAACCCATCTGATTTTATGGCTTGAAATCTGTGCCCAGAACCCCAGAAGCTGGTAACAGAGGGGAAGTCATGTGCGATTTCTCAGGACAATGATTTGCCACTTTAATAGTCCTATATTTAAAAGGCTACTTGTTCTTTCGTAAGGCTACTGACAAACAGAGCTAAATTCTTAGAGATCACAGCAGTTCTGATCTCAGCAGGTACAAAGGACAGAAAACCATGAGATAATATGTGACTTAAAGAAATTTATGAATGCTTGAATATATTAATGAAAAAGTTTAGAGAAATGATTTGAATAGACTATCCAAGTGTATTAGTTTTGAATGGCTCTTAGGAATTTTCCTTTACTCCTTACTACTGTCTCTGAGTTATAGTTTAGAATCTTTACCTCCAAAATCTAGTTTTGTTTCATAAAATACTTCTAGCTTTATTTATCAAAGTGGAATTGATTCAGGCTACTTGGTGTTGGGATAGAGATAAGAAAACATTGGTGGGACCATTTTATTTCCTTTTTGTCTTTAAAAAGTAGTGGTTTGTGAATATTTTGCAGTCGGACCATTCAGAGGCATGTTTGGCAAGGGGAAGTCATGTAGCTGAAGTAAACACTTAAAAAAGTTTACCTTTTGTGGTGGTAAATGCTTGTGCCCTGAATGCAACTGCAGAATATGCCATGGAGTTTTGTTGTACAAGGGCCAAAGTTTAAGTTCAAACAGACAATTGATGCTTTGGCTTTTCTTCATAATTGTCAGAGGACTTGCTGCCTGGGTTAGTCCCTTTATCAGGTGATCATTGAGTGCCTCACATTATTAGTTATAGTGGAAGTACAAAAACACGATACTGTGGTCCCCTCTACTGCCTGGCCCCCAAGATGTCTCTGTAGCTCCTTGCCACTTTTGCCTTTGCCAGAGCTCAGCAGCCTGCTGACCTTGGTAGCCTTGGGGTTGGGGGTGGAAGGAGTACTATCCCTTTTCTTTCAAGAAATGGAAACTGTCCTTGCCTTTTCAAAGTTATGTTATGTTGTGCTAGGGATTATGATTTAATCCTCCCTGTGGTTTTGTGAAGTAGGTTGYATTATCTACATTTTACAGATAAGGCTACAAGTTGGCCCATTTGCCCAGAATCAACCCAGGGAGTTGTTCATCTAGGATTCTGGCTCTAGAACCACTGCCTGTTCTTTGTCACTGGAATCACAGGGACTGKTTGGGTCACTAGCTTTCTCTGAAATAATGAGGATAGAAATCTCAGCCTTAATTGCCATCTCACTGAGATGATTTAAGAACCTGTGGAGTGTAACATGCTATTTAAATATATTGTGGTACCATTCAGCCAGTTCAGCCCGGATTTTGGTTTATAAAGTCCCACAATGTAAAGTCAAACTGACGTTTGTCGTTTTGGGAATATGATAAGATYTGTAAAGCTTTTACACAGGAATGACTTTTACATGATTTTTGTATTGTGTGAGTAACATCATGTTGATATAAGCTGACGTGACAGCAAAATGGTGAGCCACAGCTCTGCTTCCCRTACTCCCTGTGCCTCATTTTCTGGATCCTTTCCATCTTGCAGTGGCCTGTGGAATAAGAGTCATTTTTTCAGAATCTTGTTTGCTTGCTCTTTGAATTCTGCTTTTAAAATTTTTGGTGCTGGGGATTGAACCTAGGGACTGGCATGTGCTWGACAGGTGCTCTACCTCTGAGCTACATCCCCCACCCCAGAATTCTGCTTTTCTTAGTACTGTCAGTACTGATTTTTGAAGTAGTTTGCAGGAAGTCTTTACAAAGTTTTCAGTTTTGGTGACTGTACAGTGTTAATGAGTAGGGTGTGTGTGTGTGTGTGTGTGTGTGTGTGTTTGGTACCGGGGGTTGAACTCGGGGACACTCAACCACTGAGCCACATCCCCAGCCCTATTTTGTATTTTACTTAGAGACAGGGTCTCACTGAGTTGCCTAGCACTTTGCTTTTGCTGAGGCTGGCTTTGAACTGGTGATTCTCCTGTCTTATCCTCCTGAGGCGCTGAGATCATAGGTGCCACTGTGCCCAGCTAGTAGATGTATATTTAATGTATTAATTTTCTCTTGAAAAATATTTTTATTAAAGGAACTTGGAATAAACGTCYCAGAGTGGAAACATTATATATTTTATGACTTGTGATGAAGTCACACAGTGGTTGTTTTTTTTGTTTGTTTGTTTGTCTTAAATCTTCTTTGCTTATAACGTATTTAACATCTGGCAAAGGGAATGTGGCTGGTTTTCACTAGGTGGGACTCTGATACCAATATTTTCTAGGGTGTTTCCCCTCCTGTTATGCTGTATTGGCTGAGGGAAAGCAGTTTTTACTGTGGTTAGTACTAAGGCTCATGAAAACTGAAATGATGACTATTGTCTCCCAGAATCTAAACCATCTAGAGTGTTTTAGTGTGAGTGAAA